CGCCCTGGCGCGACCGCTCGCTCTCCCTGCGGATGCAGCACGGGGCCGCAGTGGGCCCCCGCGAGGCCGAGGACTTCTAGGGAAAGCGCGCCGCGGGCGACTGAGAGGCTCGAGCCCGTGGAGGCGGGCGGTGGCGCATCCTCGCCACTCCATCGAGGGCGACTTCGACGATGCCCTTGTCTGCGGACGCGCTGGCGCCCCCCCGATGCGGCCGCGTCGCTGCCCTCGAGCGTTCCGTCGCTGACCCGCAGGCCGCTGCGGATCGCCAGGGAGCGGCCGCGGAAACGTTCGGGACTGCCGCTGGCAGGCTTGCGTCCAAGCCAGCAGGCAAAGCCACCCTCACACTGCCCCAGCCGACGGAGGAGCGCCAGCGGCCGGTGCTCCAGTGGCTTTCCCGCCCGTTCGCCGCCGCCGCCAGCGCGGGTTTGGCCGCTCCCCAGAGCCAGCCGCTGGCGTGTGTGCCGCCGTCCGCGGGCGCGGCAGCTGCCTGGGGCCGGCCGCTGGCGTCCTCGTCGGAGCTTTAGGACGGGGGTACGGTCGAAAGGGGTACGGTATGAATGGGTACGATGACCAGCAGCGGTTCTTCATCGTTTTTGGGGCAGGATTTGCTGTTGGTGTCGTCGCGGTCGTTGTCCACTCGAGAGCAGAGGTTGCCTGCCCAACAGCGGCGGCCAGTTTTGGGCAACATGTTTGCCAGCGTGGGCCCGACATGCTAATTTCTTGCTATGTGTGGTAGTGCGATCGATGTGGTGCAGCCTGGGCGTGGCAATCCATGTGGTGCAAGCTATGTCGTGCAGAGCAGCGCATAGCAAATCAAAGCATGTCAACACGCAGTGCAGAGGAATGTGAAGCAATGCGATACAATACGATTGCAAAGCGACTGTGCTGCTATGCGATTGCAGTGCGGCGGGGGTTGGTGCAGCCGGGCGGCGGCGACGGGCGGGAACGGAGCCTCAAGCGGGCAGTTGGGTGCGGCAGTTCGGTCAAACTCTCCTGAAACCTGCCTGAGGAAGGGTTTCGGAAGGTTTTAGGACAAATCGTCCAAAAACCTCCCACCGCAAGGTTTGTGGAAAGTTTTTAGAATGAAGCCCTCCTGAAACCTTCCTGAGGCAGGTTTTTCCGAGTGTTTTTGGGCGAAAGCCCTCCTGAAACTTAGCTGAGGAAGGTTTTTGGAAGATCTTTCCGAGGAATCTTAAAAAAAACCTTCAAAACTGTCCCGACGAAGGTTTTTGGATAGTTTTTTTGGAAGAATCCCCCAGCAACCTTCCAACAACCTTCCTTAGGATTTTTCGGGTGGTGTTTGGGAGGGAATCCTTTTGACACCTTCCTGAGGAAGGTTTGTGTTGCTGTTGTTGTTTTTTGTCTCGCCCTGAACCCATCCTGATGAAAGCTTTTAAAAGGTTCTCAGCAGGATCTTTTCTTGAAACCTTCTTGACGAAGGTTTTGATGGGTTTAAGGAGGACGCCCTCCCGAAACCTTCCTGAGGAAGGGTTTCGGAACGTTTTTGGAGGAATGCTTCAACAACCTTACAACAACTTCCATGGGGAAGGTTTTGGAATATTTTCAAACGAAACCCTTTTATAACCTTCCCGAAAAAGGTTTGTTGGTAGTTTTTTTGAGGAATCCTCCAACACCCGTCCAGCAATCTAGAGGTTTTGGGGATGAGCCCTCCTGAAGCTTTCCGGGGAAGATTTTAGGAGCAGTTTTTTTTATAGGAATCTTACAATAACCTTCCAAATCCCTTCCCGAGGAAGTTTTATCGGATGGTTTTTAGGGGGAAGTCCTTTTGAACCTTCCAGAGGATGGCCTTTTCTCTCTCTCTCTCTCTCTCTCTCTCTCTTTTATGTGTGTATATATATATATATATATGTATGTGTGTATATATATATATATACATATTTTCGAAATGTTTTTTCGTGAGAACCTCCAGAATTCTTCCTGAGCAAGTTATGTAGAATTTATTCAGCAGGAAACCGTCTTGAAACCTTCCTGATGACGTTCCAAAGCCTTCCCGAGAAAGGTTTTTGTATAGTTTGTGGAGGAGTGCTCCAACAACCTTCCAAACACCTCCCTGGGGAACGTTTGCAAAACGTAAAAAAGGAAACCCTTTTGAAACCTGCCTGAGGCATTTTTTTGGGGGCAGGTTTTTAAGAGGAAGCCCTCTTGAAACCCTCCAAAGGCAGATTTTAGGAGGTTTTTTTTAGGGGGGGAGGAATCTTCCTAAAGCCTTACACAAAAAAAAAAAAACCTTCCTGGAGAAGGTTTCTGGAAGGCTTTAGGAGGAGGCCCTCTAAAACCTTCCCGAGGAAGGTTTCTGGGCAGGTTTTTTTTTTTTTTTTTTGTTTTTTTGTTTTTTGTTTTTTTCCTTTCAGTTTTCTTTTTTAGATAATAAGAAAAAGTAAGTTAGGAATCCCCCAACAACAGTCCATCAATTCAAAGGTTTTTAGGATGAGACTCCCTGAGACCTTCCGGAGGAAGGTTTTAGGACATTTTTTTTGAGGAATCTTCCAACAACCTTCCAAAACCATTCCTGAGGAAGGTTTGGGGCAGATTTTGAGAGGAAGCCTTCCTGAAACCTTGGTTTTGGAAGATTTTTGGAAGAATCTTCCAACATTCCTACAACCTCCTGGAGGAAGATTTTTCGAATTTTTTAGGAGGACCCCCTGTGAAACCTTCCGGAGGAGCGTTTTTTTTCTGCAAGAACCATCCGGTCCTTCCCGAGGACAACTCTTGGAAGGTTTTGAAGAGAACCGTCTGAAACTTTCCTGAGAGGTTTTCGGAGGTTTTTTGTATAGGACCTCCCAACACATTTCAAACACTTTTTTGTTCTACGCATAAATGCACACATATATATACATTCAATCGTACACACATACAAACGAACATACATACATAGAAACGTACGTGCGTACGTACATGCATACATACATACATGCATACATACATCCATACAAACATAAACTCGTACACACATACATACACACATACAGGCACACAAACATACAACGTACATACACACATACATACATACATACCTGCATGCATGCATTCATGTATGTATGTATGAATACATGCGTACATACGTACACATCCCTACACATACATACGTACGTACATACATACACATACACACATACAGAGACAGACAGACAGACAGACAGAGACAGACAGACAGACAGACAGACAGACAGACACGCAGACAGACAGACAGACAGACGCACATACATGAATACTTATGTATACATGTATACTCACATACACACATACATATAGACATACATACATACATACATACATGCATATATGCATACACATATACGTACATACATACATAGACATACACATACGTACATACATACACAACCACATACATACATACATACATACAAACATACATACATACATACATACATGCATGCATACATACATACATACATACACACATACAAACATACATACATACACATACATGCATGCATGCATGCATGCATGCATGTATACATACACACATACATACACATACATATATACATGCATACATACACACGTACGTACGTACATGTATGCATGCAGACATGCATGCATATACACTATATATGTATACTATGTCTATGGGTCTCGCACTTCCCCTACCTCCCCCTCCTCCCCCTGGAGGAAACCAAGAGAGGAAACAGAGGAGTGAGGAAGATGGTTTCGGGATTTTGATAATGGCTTCTGAGGTGCTTTCAGGTTTCTGCAGGGATCGTGGCAGCTCTCTCGTCCCTCCTCTTTGCGCTCTCCGCCCTCTTCCCTCCTCCCTCCTTTCTACCTTCTCCCTCCTGCCTTCTCCATCCTCCTCTTTTTACTTTTTTTTGAATTGATAATTCTATTTCTCTCTCCCTCTGTCTTCTCTCCCCCGTCCTGCTGAGAGGCACACATCTGCAATGCCGCGTCCAGCCAACGAAAGGCCTCCCTCCTGCTCCTGCCCCTGGTCTTCTCATTCTATCTCCTCCGTCCCCCTCCAGCTATTATCTTCCATCCCCGTTCTGGGTCACTTCGATTGGTCCAGTGAGTCTCGCATCGCCGCCTTCGCTACCAGAACCCACCGACCCATCCGTCGGGCCTCGAGGGCGACTATGAAGGGTATACTTCGAGAGCTCCTCCTCCTCTTCCCTTTTTCCCTTTCTATCCCCCGCCTCCCTCGTGCTCATCTTCCCTCATCTCTCTGCAGATGGTTCCACTTCGAGCCACGTCGGCGTTCGAGCCCGCTCGGCCGCCGAGCGGGACGCTGCACCAGACCCCACAAGGCCAGGCTGCCGGAGGCGGGGAAGCTGGCCCGCTGGGCCGCCGCACGGGCCCCTCTCCTGGGCCCATGGGCCAGCAGACATCCAAGGCACGGCCTTTTTTTCCCAACCAACCTGTGCTGCTGGGTCCTCGTTTTGAAGAGACGGTCCCCGCGTTCCTCCTCCTCCTCCTCTTCCTCCTCCTCCTCCTCTCCTCTCCTCCTCCCCCTCCTCCCTCCTCCTCCCTCCTCCCCCTCTCCCCTGCGTTCTACCCACCCAGTACAGCGCTTCGTAGCCCCATAGGGAGCTCCACCGAAGGCCCCAGTGCCACCTTCCAAGTCCGCCGAAGTCCTGACCCTCTCCCAGGGGCTGGGTCTTCGTCCCGAGTCGCCTTTGCGGAGGCCGTGAGTGGCGTCATCCCGTGATTGCCCGGACCGCCCGCGCGCGCGTGCGGACCGCCGCTGCCGCGCTGCGGCGAGAAACGCGAGTGGCGACATCCGAACCTCACGACCACCAAGCGTCGACTCTCCTGAATAGGGGGCCACATGCGAACCCTACCCCTACCCTGTCTGTGTGTTTTTTCCCCTCCTGACATATCCCCCCCTATCGTTGCCCCCGACGTCCGCGCAGGATCGATCCGTGCTGGCCCCCCGAGGGGGCCCGAAGCACGGGGCGCAGACGCCCGGGGCGAGAGCAAACACGGAAAACGCACGGCTCTCGGGGCGACGACTCGCCGTCGCCGCCGCCGTCGTCGTCGTCGTCGTAGGCAGCGGGTCCAGATCCCCGACGTCGCGACTAGGGGGCCACGTGCGAACCCTACCCCTACCCCCCACGATTTCTGAGGGGGAGGGCCTGGCGGGGGCCCTGAGAGGCCGAAAGCGACGAGAAACCCCCGTCTTGCTTTCTTCAAGACGTTGGTCTTTGGGGGGAGTGGACTCCCCCCCTCCCTACCCTTTTCCCTCCTCCTCGTCTTCTTCTTCTTCTTCTTCCTCCTCCTCCTCCTCTGCCCGCTCCTCCTCCTCACCCTTCTCCTCCCTCCCTCTCTCTCCCTCCCTCCTTCTCTCCCTCCCTCCTCCGCTTCCCTCCTTCTCCCCTCGGCGCCGCGGAGCCCGCCCTGCCCCCCCCCCCCTCTCGCCACCGCGGGGTCCCCCGCCATGGCCGCCCGGAGCCTCGCGGCGCTCCGGTTGGCCGCCGACAGCGCGAGCTCCAGCATGGCGTCCCTGCCGGCGCCGTGGCCGGGTGCGAGGTTCCAGGCCGCCCAGGATCAGAGGAGCAAAGAGGTCGTGATGATGATGCTGATGATGCTGATGATGCTGCTGATGCTGATGATGATGATGACGATGATGACGATGATAATGATACGACTGCTGTGGATGGTGGTGATGGTGATGACGATCATGACGGTGGTGGTGATGATGATGATCATGGTGATGATGACGATGACGATGACGTGGACGGCGATGATGATGACGCTGACGATGATTATGCTGATGAGACTGATGATGATGAGGATGACGACGACGACGATGATGATGACGATGAGTTATGGTGATGATGATGTTTGCTGTGATGATTATAAGGAGGATAATGATGATGATGCTGATGCTGATGCTGATAATGATGATGATTATGACGATGCGCTGCTGCTACTGATGATGATGAGGACGAGGATGAGGATCAGGGTGACGACGATGAGGATGAGGATGAGGATGAGGACGAGGACGAGGACGATGATGATGATGATGATGATGATGATGATGATGATTCTTATCATTATTATTACTACTACGATGACGATTCTGATGATGATAATGACGAGGATAAGGATGATGATGACGAGTCATATTGACATGATGATAATGGCGACGACGATTTTGGTGATAATGATAATGATGATGATGAGGATGATGATGAGGATGATGATGATGACGATGATGATGACGATGATGATGATGATGATGATGATGATGATGATGATGATGGCGACGATCATGACGATGATGATGAGGATGAGGATGAGGATAAGGAGGATGACGATGAAAATGAATATTCATCTGACGATGACGGCGACGACGATCATGCTGCTGATGATGATGCTGATGATGATGAAGATGAAGATGATAATGTTGTTGATGATGCTGCTGGTGTTGTTTGTTATGGTGATGTTACGAATAGAAAGGCTGATGATAATTATGATGAGGATGATGCTGATGCTGATGCTGATGCTGATGATGATGATGATGATGATGATGTGCTGCTGCTGCTGCTACTGATGATGATGAGGATGAGGTTGACGATGAGGAGGATGATGCTGATGGTGATGCTGATGAGGATGACGATCAGGATGAGGATGAGGATAAGGAGGATGATGATGACGATGCATCTTCATATGACTATGATGGCGACGACGTTGTGCTGCTGATGATGATGATGACGATGACGATAATGATGATGGAGAGGATGATGCTGATGATGATGACGATGATGATGATGATGAGGATGTATGGTGATGATGCTGATGATGATAATGATACTGTTTTTCATTTTGATGATGCTACGAATGGGGCTGATGATGATGATGATGATGATGATGTCGATGATGATGCGTTGCTGCTGCTACTGATGATGATGAGGATGAGGAGGAGGATGACGATGAGCTGATGCTGATGCTGATGATGATGCTGATGAGGATGACGATGAGGATGAGGATAAAGATGATGATGATGATGATGACAATGAATACTATTATGACGATGGTTGCGACGGCGATATTACTGCTGCTGGTGATGATGATGATGAGGATGATTACTATGATGATGACGATGAGGATGGTGAAACAGATGATGTTGATGATCATGGTGATGATGCTGATGATGATGATGCTGTATGGTGACGATGATGCTGTTGTTTGTTGTGATGATGGTAGGGATGGGGATGATGATGATGATGATGCGCTGCTGCTGCCAGTGATGGTGATGATGATGCTGATGATGATGATGATGCTGATGCTGCTGCTGATGATCTGGTTGAGGATGAGGTTGAGGATGATGATGGTGATGGTTGTAACAACGATGATGATACTACTGATGCTGCTGCTGATATGGTGGTGATGATGATGGTGGTGGTGATGATGATGGTGATGACGATGACGATGACGATGGTGATCGTGATCGTGTTCACGATTAAGATGATGATGATGATGGTGATGATGATGATGATGATGATGATGATGATGATGATCATGATGACGACGAAGGTGAAGATGATGATGATGATGATGATGATGATGATGATACTTATCATTATTAATCTTTTTCTGGCTGTTATACTGTACTATGTCTATCATTATCATTATCCGTATCATTATGAATCTCATTATTTTCATTCATACAATTTTTAATAGTATTTTGCTTATTATTTCTATTGTTATTATTTTCATTGTTCTTATTATTACGACTATCATTCGTATTGCTGTTGTCCTTATTATTAGTGTTAATGCTATCATTATCATTGTTCTTATTCTTTGGTATGCTGTATGTTGATGATCTTCCCAGGCTGAGAAGTGCTCCAGGCCGGCTGCAGAAACGAGGGCCTCTAGATACGCCGGAATACTTGGAACGTATCTGAGCCACCCATATGATGACATCATTGTCGTCCCAGCCCAGTCGGGGTCGGAGTGGACGGGGGTCGGGCGATTTCGGCGCATCGCAAGCGCGTCGGCGATGTGGCGCGATCCAGAGTTGGATTCGGCGACGCGGTGCGAGTCCTCTGGCTCCTCTCTGGCCGGATCTGGGCGGCCTCCAGAGGTTCTCGGTGCGGATCGAGTTCTTCTCGCCCGAGGCCGGGGCGGGCACCCGCAGCAGCGGCATGTGCGTCGCCAAGGATCCCGCGAAGTACGCCCGCTGTGCCGAGGCGCTTCGGGAGGCGGTGGTCGGGCAGTTCGATGGCGAAGTGTCCGTCAGCCTGGTGAGCGTGACCGCGCCCGGGGCCGAGCGGGCTCTTCCGCCCTCGTTGTCCTTCAGAGCGCGTAGGAGGAGGAGGAGGAGGAGGAGGAGGAGGAGGAGGAGGAGGAGGAGGAGGAGGAGGAGGAGGAGGAGGGGAGGATGAGGAGGAGGAGGAGGCGGAGGATGAGGAGGAGGATGACGATGCGGAGGAGGAGGAGGAGGAGGAGGAGGAGGAGGAGGAGGATGGAAATCAACCCTCCCTCCAAGCTCCCTCTTCATATGCCCCTACAAGTCTTCATTTCCACAGGGAAGTGCCCCGCTGGGAGGCAAGATCCTGAAGCGCGCCAGACACCACTTTCGGGACTCCAACGCCACGAATCAACCTGACCGTTGCGTCTAGACGGTCATGAATCGTGCCAGAACGACCTTCCTGGGTTTTCAACACCGCGAACCAAAGAAACTGTCGTTCCCTGACAATCCTGAATCGTTCCAAACACCATTTCTGGTACGATCACCATGGGAATCCGTGAACCTATTGCAAGTTGTGAAGACGAGTGTGCGCGGCGATCAGGCGGCATCCACATTTTGAAAAGGAACCGCCCTCAATCCGCGAAACTCCTTGTAGTTTTTAGGATGAGTGTGCATGACTCTAAGGCGAGAGCCGCATTTTGAAAGCGAACCGCCCTCAATTTGTGAATCAGTTTATAAGCTTCAGGATCACAAAGAGAAACGCCCGGACCGCACTTCCGACTGGCCTCGGGGTGCGATAGGGAGGAGTTAGTTAAAAAGGAAAAGGGATGGAGGAGGAGGAGGAGGAGGATGAGGATGAGGAGGAAGGGGAGGAGGAGGAGGAGGAGGAGGAGGAGGAGGAGGAGGAGAAGGAGGAGGAGGAGGGGGAGGGGACATCAGCAGGCGTGTGAGGATGGGGGATGAAGGTGGATGTTCCTCTCTTATTTGTGATGGCGGTGGTGTGATGGTTGTGGGCTTGAGTTTGATGACGATGCCGACGATGCCGATGTTGGTGATGGCGGCGGCGTAGGCGGTGAGGACGACAACCGCGACGACGATGACAACGGCGATGACTGCGACTGCGTTGACGACGGCGACGGATGATGTCGAGTTTTCATTTCTAAATGATTACTGTTGATCCCCACCCTCAGGTGACTTCTTTTTCAATTGACGTACCCTCACAGGGCTCGCACCCTGTTTCGAGGCTCAGATCAGATGGGGCTTGTGGCCCCCAAACTACAACAACAACGGCTCCCGCCTGATACTCCCTTACAGTTTGTTCAAAATTGCGCTCTCGCGCGGGAGTGCCTCACAATTGATGCAGGAGTCGCGCTCTCGCGTGGGACCTCCGTCCGATTTCTTGAGACGCCGCACCTTCGACACTCACGAATCACGCTTGATCTGGACTTCCGCACCATTTACTTGGGAATCGCGCTGTCGCTCGAGACTCGCGATCCGTGCAGGACTGATGCTTCAGCGACCCGCACGCTCGACCCGGCCGTCCGGGCCCGCCCGCCTGACCCACTTGTTAGGGTCCGCCCGCCCGACACGTCCGTTTGATAATGTCGCCTGTTTTCCTGCTCCTACCCCCCCCAGATCACGTCTCTCGTGCTCCATTCTTCTCCCTCCCACTTGTCTCTTCCCTCCTCCTTCCCAACTGCACGTGGCAGGTAAGGATGACATACTGCTAAGGGGGGCACGATTGAAGACCGGGAGTGCGGATTTCGAGGGTTCGGTATATACATGTTGAGTGACACGCGAGCAGATACAGTGGCACAGTCTTAA